GTGTGTGTGTGTGTGTGTGTGTGTGAGAGAGTGTTTCTGGGATTGGAAGTCAGCTGTGTGTAAAACCAATGCAGGACACGCTGGGAAAATCCCTACCTCTAGTCATGAACCTGTTCCCCCTCCTCCTCATCCTCCTCTTCCTTCTCCTCCTCCTTTTCCCTTTCTCATTACAAACCAAACTCACTCATGTTTTAGGAGCCACAATCTGAGCATAATGTAAAATATGTTTTGACATGTACAGGGCGGTAAAACTGGCAACATCGATAGGAAATGAGAGGAAGATAATAATCAAAAGTTAAAGAGATGATTTCAGATTTTGGGTGTTCTGTGCAGTGGGGTTATATGAGGTACTTATCCATCGTCTGTGTGTCACCATCAGTCAGTATTAGTCGGCAGACCCCAATTTTGTCACCGCATGGAAAAAGACCTACTTGAAAAATCAATATGGGTAAATGTCTGCTATATTTTAAACATTTTCACCACTTTACCTTGCTGTCATATAGCCCTTTACAACTGAAGCCATATGCTCTTTTTAAAGCACCCTGAAAAAATTGAGCTCAACTTTCCAGAGAACAGAAGTTGGTCTACACCAAGTTAGTACATTTATGTCACTGTGTGATTTGGGTTATTTCGGATTCACCAAGGTAACACACGAACACAGACGTCACTAACCGATATACCGAGAGGGCAGTTCATTATCAACGTTTCTTCTGCCGTATAAAGTTACTGTTTTTATCAACAGGCCTACTTAAAAAAACAATATAATGGCACATTTCCACTGCAGCGGGGTAGCCCCGTTTAAGCGTCCCTAAGCGTCCTCGCTCAGGCCTCTGGCTGCCTCGCTGTCCGTCCGAGGCCGTGGCGCATTTCCATTACAGTTTAGGACCTGGGGTAGCGGGGCGATCTGCTTTTTTCTTCTTCACATTTGGAGTTGTTCCGTCGAGCTCCCGCTGGATTTGATCATCCCCAATGAGATGTAGGAACGTCGTCACCTCCTCGGTCGACCACGGTGTGCTTTTCTTTGACGTTGCCATTTTTGTAGCTCCTCCGTTTACAAAAATGCTGCAAGCTTGCTTCTAGATATATATGCGACGCTAGGGATGATCTCGCACGCGATCTTGTGACGATTCTCTCTGACCAATCAGCAGTCGAGAGTGTTGACGTCACTAGTTCAGCCCTGGCCTGATAGAACCACGATTTTATGGGGCCGGAAAAAGAGGGAAAAAGTACCCGCTAGCCGGTGCTACGCTATATGGAAAGGCTACCAAAAACCGGCCTGGCCGCTTGAGGACGATTAAGGACGCTTAAACGGGGCTACCCGCTGCAGTGGAAATGCGCCATAAGTGCACGTTTATGTTGCTGTGTGACTTTGTTTTCCTCAGATTCATGAAAGAAGACCACGGGTCAACTAACAATCTACCGAGACAGAAGCAACTCTTGTGTTCTTCGGGGTAACATTTAAGTTTTTGTGAATGGGATCTGGTGGCCTTGAAGAGAGCATAGATGTGTTTTCAGTTGCCTGTTGGTAAACACTGTCCGACAGCAAGGTAAAGCTGTACACATATTCAAAAGATGGCGAAAACTTAAACTGAAATTTATGTTTTTATTATTTTTATACATTTGGTTGAGGCCTCTTCCAAAGCACTATAATATTTCATGTCCCAACTCCTGTCTGTTTCTACAAACTGGGTGTGAGCCTACAGCCGCCTAGTGTAAGTAAGACACTGACTATATATACAGTATTCAGCCCTATTATTAGTGATGCAAGTCTAGCTTATGCCTAGACCACCCTGAGTTTAAAAAAGTCCATTAGTAAGAGAAATTCAAGTTTTCAAACTATTTTGACTTAAAAAACGTGAAATTATCTTTGGCAACACCAGCTAATTTATACATCTTAACACACAATAAGTTAACTGGTACCACTTTACAATGAGACTACCCTTATAAAGGACTCATAATTAGGTTATTAATGAAGTTGTAAACACTTTATTAATCATTAAGAACAGTTTATAAACCAGTCCTAACATAGTTTTCATACGTCAACACAGGCTCACTATTTGGCAAGATGACTAACGGCCCGTCCGGGACCGGGACATTTCCTACAGCGATGATTAATTTATCCTCCACTTTATGACATATGGAAAAGACCGCAGCGGTATCTGCATACAGTACACGCGGTTTGATTGGCTAGTGCTTGCACTGGCGGGATTTGCATAAACGGGATTTGATTGGCTGATGCCAGCCTCGCAAGCATTGGGAGCATCAAAAGTTGAGCATTGCTCAACTTTTGATGCTCAAGATGCTTGCAAAGCCATGCTCCGCTCCCCACAATGCAGTTCGGCGAAGATTAAAAATCTTCTACATCACCCCATTCAAGTGAATGGGCGAAGCTTTGAAAGATTTTTTTCATGCCTGTGTGTGGACGGGCCGTAAGCCTTATATTGGCTACTTAGCGAGAATCAACTCAGTGAACAACAGATACCAAGGAATCTGGCTGATGAAGAAGACGAGGTAGACAATATCAGGCTTAGCAGTTCAGATAAATGTGGGCTCACTATTTGGCAAGCAACCGGTCACAGTTGCCCTGTTTATCTCATGTCTTATAAAAGCTTATTAATGATTTATAAAGTGTTCACAACCTAATTAATTTTGCCATTGTTATTGTTGTTATTGTTATTATTATCATCATGCATTGCTTTCCACTTTCTTCTTCAGTAGGACTCAGATGAGGGTGTTGCACTTTTCTTTTCCTTATACATGTGATGTTTTGGTGTTGTTTTGTTTCTTTCCGTTAGCTGTCAAGTGGGAAATAAGTATTTTGTGTGTGTGTTTCTCTTAGTATCCTAAGATACTGTTATGTTTGGCTGTGAAAAAAAAAAAATATTATTATGAAGGGCAGACCATCTATTTGTATTTATTTGTTTTTTTTTAGAAAGGGGCAGGTCACATAAGATTGTATTCTTCTCCCTGCTCCTTTTCACTCAATGGTGTTTTGGTAGAGTCATGTTTTGTGGCAATTATTGTACATTTGGTTTTGTGTACCATGACAAATAAAAATGAAATGAAATGAATAAATGAGTTACAAACTATTCGTAGTCTTATTGTAAAGTGGTACCAGTTCACTTAACCACTGTTTCCTTTGTGCTTTGTTGCATTGGTATCCCAAGTCACAATTGTTATCCCGCGCTGCCTGTGGCCTTGGCCAAACGTGCGAATATGAAACAGAGTGTAAATATAGCTCCGTAGCTCATGCTGTTTCCTCCATTGACTCTTGTTAGAAAAACAATGGCATCCTATTATTCACCGGGCCATGATTGAACTGGAAGAAACTAGACTTTACTAACTGTCGGGACATTGTTCAATGCTGCAGTACAGCGGTGTTTGAGAAAAGCTGTGAGGATCTGTGTTTAAACGCTTCAGACAGAAACAATGTAAGGATTCTTTGAGCAGTGTTGTTCTTTCTTGCACTTTCAAATGTGTTTTTTTCCCATGATAAAAGCTTTCTTGCTCTTTTCTCCCCGTCACGTATCATCATGAGTCCTCGAGGTCGCCGTGCTGATATACTATTTTTGGGGCCCGTCAGGCATTGTTTATAAATGTTCCCTAAACTGACGGCAAAAGGTCAGGACTCTGAGAATAACTCCTGTGATATTTAGAAACACCTTTTGTTTCCTGATAGCCCGGCTAGCCGTGATGCTGAGGTAACAAGAGGAGTCAGTTGGCATGGCGACTATCCCCGTGACCTCTCCAGCAATAGTCGCTGCGTAAAGGTCTGTTATGCAATGCGATGATTTAAGGGTCATTGGTTGTTCATTCGTGTTGCTTAAGGCATCTTTTGTTTTACGTACAATCCCTGGATGCAAGTTGATCATGCATTTTTAAATTTGAACTGAGAAATAGGGCAACGTATATCATATTCTATTTACGTATATATAGACTTCTTGCATTATTTTTTATTTGTATTTTATTATATAACTATGTTGCATTGTTGGAGGAGTTCGGTTCATAAGAATTTAATTGTCATTTCTACACTGTAGCTTATGTGCATTAAAACCTTTGGATGTTGAACATGACAAGTTTTTAAAAATGTAATTATTGGTATCATTATTAGAGATAGTTGTTTGAAGTCAACAATCGTCACAGGGTTGTTGTTATTGTTAATGACTTTCCCATTAAACCAGAATTTGTCCATATGTACACTTTAAACTAACTCATAAACAAGAGGATGTTATTTTGACTGCTGATATACTAAAATGTTGACAGAGCCTTAATCGATGCTGAACCATGATACTATTTACAAATCTGTGTCATTAGGATGTTATTTTGGCAGCATTTTGGTTTATTTAAAGCATAAAACCACCGCAGCTTTTGTTTATATCGGGTTTATAACGCTGTAGTGAACCAACCATCGGTGTATTCCATTACATGTTAAAGCGCTGTATTCAAAATCAAACAATTACATGTGAATGTGGTTGTTAAGTACAGTAGCTGGCATGCAGAAAGATAACTTTGAGTGCTATATTATTAGATCCTTAATACAGGTGCATTTATGGGTAAGTAGCATTTTAGTTGTAGTGTGTCAAATTGCAGTAATCTAAGCATTGTTGCATTGAAGAAATCATGTATATATAAAATCTTAACCTGGAAGTAATACAAGACTAAGGACTATGAAATTAATATAGTTCTTGTAGTTGAAACAATCAAGTAGGCTACCTGTACCCCGCATTACTTTACAACCACTGCATTACATACTAACACTATGTTGATATATTTAAACCCTCAGAGTTAATAATACTATCATTTAAAACCAGATCATGTGGCTGACACAGACTTCAGATCAGACAAACCCACTGATTGGCCCAGCCTCAGGAATATCTGCATAAATAATTCACGACAGAGGAAATAGAGCCCAGAGTGGCGGCTTTGTGTGAAGAGCTCGTTGTGGATTAATGTCGCTGCTTTGTGTGCAGAGGACCATTCTTCAGACAGGGGGCGGGAGAGAGACTCTTGGAGAGCTGCTCTTCCCCTCAGCTCCACCACAGCGCTGCGTAATCAGGCGGCTCCAGCAGGCTGAGGCGCTCCGAGACACACACTGCGTTTCTTATTGATAAGACTTCTTGGAAGAAGAGCACCGCAAACTACCGTGCTGGCAATTCTGATCTGCACTTTTGGACACATCACGGTTAAAAAAAGACCCTCACTTTTGGAAAGAAAGACGTCAGTTGGATATATTGTATTTTTTTTAAACTGGGCATCCTTGGATTAATTGATACTTTCTCAAAGACTGCTTTCTAGGCGAAGTGTGTGACTTGGAAATGTTTGAGTACATTAGTTGCGATCTTGTGTGCAAGGTGGACTAAAATAAAAAGACTGAAGAACACTTTGACTACAACTTGGAAGGTTATTATTCATCAGTACTTTGGAGCTTCTTCGTCTCCTCTCATCTTCTTCTTCGGATATTTTCTTCTGAAGAGACAACAGTGGTGCGGACGGACCGTTTACGCGCACGCGGTTCCGCAGGGCGAGCCGCTGTCCCTCCGCGCGCAGTGCTGAGGGGTCCCTCGCGCTTCCATAAATGCCCGGTCCGTCAAAGTGGCTCGAGGCTGGGCAGCAAGATGAGCTCGTGGGTACAGCTGCTGCTCGCGCTGCTGGCGACGTGTCTGCGGTTTGGCGCAGCCGAGGTGAGTTTGCGTCAAAACTGTCGATGTTTTAGAGATGATTCAAGATTTTCAACATTTCAATAACTTTATTGTCATTGTTAAGGCATAAGGAGATATCCTTTGTGCTGGTCCCGTAGGTGCAACATAGAATACAATAACAATTAAAACTCAAATATATGAAACGACCCTTAAAAGCAATAGATAGTAGTGTTTTTTATCATAACATATAAAGATCAAAGCAAAACATATTTTATTGAGAATTGAGCAGTGAGGGAAGTATTTATATACTTCTTTTAAGTTAAAGTGCTAATACCACATTGTTAAAATACTCTGTTACAGGTCAAAGTCATGCATTTTAAAGTTTACTTGAGTAAAAGTAAGTGTAATCAGCTAAATGTACTCAATAAACGTACTAAATGCAGAACATTCTATAAAAAAAACATCGGCTAGTTGATTAATCGACCAAGCTTATTTTATAACAAAACATAATATTAGTATAACTTTTTTAGTGCAAAAATCTTCATTTGTAAAGTTACTAACGTTAGCTGTAAAATGAATGTAGTCAAGATACCATATTTCTCTTTGTATCGTAGTAGTAGAAGTATAAAGTAACAGTTATGAACTACAATTACTTGAGTAAATGTTTGTTAGATTCAAACAATGAAAATGCAGCACAAGCTACGACAGGAAATAGTAGCTTTAAAGTATGCTAGCTAAAAGAAACTTAGCCTTGGCTACTTACAGTATGCTACTTGTTCACACAATTCGTACAAATGACTTGAAATGAAGGGTTTTCAAGTAGATTTTTCTTTATTTTTTAGATGTAGTGCACCAGTCTTAGAATAAAACCTGTCTTTCCCTTATTGTTTGTGCGTTGGTTGGGATCCTCCCTGGAGAAAATAACTGTTATTCCTCCCATTAACTGGTATAATGAATGAATGGATGCCCAGGGGCACACACACACACACACACACACACACACACACACACACACACACACACACACACACACACACACACACACACACACACACATACACACACACACACACACATGATGGGGAGGAGGGGGTGATGATCCAGGAAACAGAGGCTGGCTGCCATGAGAGGCTCTTTAGCAGCTGGATGCTCCACGGGGTAAAGTGGATGCTGCTCCAGATGTTGAGTGAGTTCTTAAAGGTCACCTATTATGCAAAATCCACTTTTTCATGTCTTTGATACATAAACATGTGACCCCCCCTCTGTGAAAAGAGACTCTGAAAGTTTCAGGAAAAAAGATTCTCTCTCTTTTTGTCCTGATCCATTTCTATAAAAACCTGTCTGAAAATGAGCTGATCAGATTTTGGCCACTTTATGATGTCATAACGATGTTTTGGCTTCTGTAACCATTAGCCAATCAGCAACCAAGGTAACCCCCCCACACCTTATCACCTGAACCCCCCCCTAGAGCACCATTGTGTTATTTTTAACCAAATCTCTCTCAGAGGGGCGTGGGGAGGGGCTCCTTATTTTCATCTAAAGTAACAGACAGAGAATCAGCACTTTGGAAACAGGGCTGAAACAGAGGGGATTATGGGTAATGCTGCAATGATCTGTTTGGTGTTTCAGACAAACATGTTTTTTATATATCTGAGAACTATAACATATGGATGAAAAACAGTATAATTGAGGACCTTTGAAGTGAGCAGCGTCTTACTGTGACGTGATGCTGCAGAGACCACATGTTAGTCACTGTGGACGACCATGAGATTCCACAGTTGTGAGAGATTGATTTTGACACTCAGGGGGAAATATGTCTTGGAGGCAAGATGACAAATGATCTGGTTCTGGTGTGAAATATTTGTCATGCATCAACACAATGTAAATCACCTGTGTTGCCAGATGTTGAGGGTCTAAAACACTTCAATTATTGATATTTAAGTGCAGAACGCAATGACAATCTTACCTGAAAATGCAATAGTGTTGTCCCCATTTAAGTGTCAGTATTTTTTTAAGTGTTTTGTGACAGGGATGTTACCATGAATGATGCCCTGTTTACTTAAGTTTCCACCTCCAGTGAACCACTTCTGCACACATCTGTCAGAGTAATGAACATGCTACGGTGAAATACGCACGCATGATCGATGGGTGGAGTCTGACCGTCTCCTGAGGTCAAACAGGAAGACAAATCTTAACTCAGGGCCTCGTCTAGGTCAAGTGAGTCTTCAAGATAAATGACATTTCAAACATGTTTGCCTCTTTTGCCTAAATGAAGGCTATAGAAGTAGGTCCAGATGCACATTTGATCAGATTATTTTTTGTATTTTTCTCTGTTTCCGACCCAGGAAGTCAATCTTCACAATGAACCACCAGTGTCAGCCACTTGTGAAACGAAATGGGATCAAAACACACAGTTAACAAGTCAGTCATAGGAAGTAGACCTTTAAACAAGTCAGAAAGAGGGCACAACCCTTTGTGAGTTTTTCATTCAGACAGCTGGAGTAGCATGGTATTGGGAAATGTGCATCCAGGTCTTCTGCCAATAGAAGCTTTTAATTAATGGCAAAATATAAACAGTTTTTTGCAGTGTGCCATCTTAACGTACGCGTATCCCCACTTTCATTTACCCCACCTATACAATTAAGTGTATGCATTTACCGTAGCCATGAATGCTTAACATAAAGGTGGATTTCTGGTGGAACACAGCTATGATGGATGATTTGAGATCCCTGTCATCAGCTTGTCTTTGCATTTTATAGCCTCTCTAGGCACCACATGTAAAAAGAAAGCTCACATTTGACAGGCCAGGCGTTTTGAAGGGAGAAAGTTAGCCTTTGAGGTACAACACCAGGAGTTCCCCAAGTCCTACTGGAGTCACTTTGCAAGCTTCAATCACAAACCCTATAAAAAGAACATCATCATAAGAACATTCAACTGTATATACACGTATAGATTTTAAACGTGGACCACCAAAGAGGAATCCAGACATTTAATTTACAGCACAAACTCATCATTATCCTTGATTGCATTAGGCGCCTTTCCAGAGCGTAAATCATGACAAAGGAATTAATTACAGTCACATTTATTCAGACATTTCCAGTTTTGCGCACGTGTAGGCGCGGTTTCAACGAGCACACGTGAAACTCCACACGAGTGCTGCAGCAAACTCGACCCCCTAATTATGAGCCATTAGACGCTCCTCCTGCCCACTGCAGCTGGGACCTGGCAGTCCTCAAAACGTCCAACACACCTCCAGGGGACGGGGGCTTGCTTTGGGTGATAAGGGCTGGATTACGTCCAAAAATGGGATCTTTTGGACGATGTGAAATGACACAAAGTGTACGAGACAACAGGATTTGTCATGATTTTAAAAGAAGAGCGATATTGTACGACAATGAAGGGGGCCGTTTGGTTTTGTTACACACTTTATAAGAAGTTTTCTGTGTTTTTTAACTGATTGACAGTAGGACTCCACAATTTATCCAAGTTTAGCAACTTCATAACATGGACAAGCCCAATACCCACATTGAGTGCAATATTGGGTAAAAGCAAAACAAAAAATAATCACATATTATCGATTCATGTACTTTTTAATGCAAAAATGGTGGGGCTGTGTTCAGCCTCTCAAATATAGAGATTTTTCCACTTTTTTCTGTCTTTCTATTTAAGTGAATATCTTTAAGTTTTGGACTGACAAAAAAAGATTTTTCACTATTTTCTTGCATTTTATTAGACCATACGATTACCAGATCAATCTAGAAAATAATCAAAATTGACAACAATCATTAGTTCCAGCCCTGATTTGATGCCTCGATAAACCCTATCATTCGTTTACGCTCTTGTTTACCTAAGTACAGGTCCTATGACATTCCCTTACAACCTACTATTTTACTATCTTGATATTATTATTTAAACATTGAGCTTTCTCGATGTGTGTTTACGCATTCGGTTTTGAATGTGTTTACATCTGTTTTGTTTATCAGAACCCAAAGTGTTTATTTAGTATTTCCTGCTTAGAAACAAATCGTCATGGCAGCAGGCACCACCGTGGACAAAGGCACACATCCTATAATTAACATTAGACACAATTAGCCGAGCAGGCGGCTTTTGCTCCGTTTGGCGAAGGGAAGAAATCACGGTGATGACTCCTGAGGGGACGGACAGCTCAGACATGTGAGCGTAATACAGCAGGCATTTCCCCGTGTATTTTCAACGCTCTGGAAAGCCCGTTAACAATGGGGGAAAGTCAGCGGCGTACAGTAGAGGCAGGATGAGAATACATGTCCATGCATGGATGGCTGCTTCCTTTGGCTAAAGCCTGCTTCCCGTAGGGATTCATTATACTCTACAGTCCTACACACTGTACCGGACCGGACCTTTTACATTTAATTTACGATGTGTAGTCCTTTACGTTGTATGGTTCTAAATTGCTGATGTATTTTTATCCTAAGACATTTTAAGGCACATTTTTGTATTTAGAATAAGCCCCTTGAGATGGGTAATCTTGTTCTTGACAGGGTCCTACACAGAAAATAAACTATTAAAGAAACATTAAAGTATCAACGGACAAACACACCACACATTTGACTACTTAAACATACAGAAAAACCAAAAGACAATGTTGTTATAAGATTAAAATCATGCTAGTTATCCCTATTTTCTATACCACTAATCTGATGACATCTTCTTTTTTAACTTTTTGAAATACAATTTAAAGCCAGTAGTGGTAGCCAAAGACAGATGTTCGTTAATGTAATTTTAAACATGCACATTTTTCCTAAAATAGGAGATGAAATTAGCTTAACATACCAGAGGGTGACTAAGATAACATTTTAGAAGGTCAATTATTCCAGTCCGAGGTAGCCTTAAACATAAAAGCTTTTCTTCTTGATGCTAGTAATAAAGAAGAACTAGGCAGAGTGTCTCCTTAGAGAAGTTGAATCCTACAGTTTTAAGGAAGCGAGAAAGTGGATCCTTTTAAATCCAAACTTTCTTATAGTGGGAGAGGGCCAGTTTAATCTAATATATCATACCCAATGATGAGTATGAAAGAGGCTTTAAACACAAAGAAATACAAATGCTATTACACAGAATCAAGCAGGGAAAGATTAGAGATCAGATATGAGTTCATATTGTATCTGTTGGTCCTATAGTCTGTCCACATTGGCTGCTCTGAGTCCATCTTCATTGGTCCCTTGTCCCCATGCGACAGCAAATGAAGCACGTCCACAGCATTTAAAGCAACGTGAGGAAGTTTCTCGACCCATGTCTGATCCTTGTCCATTTTAACCCGTCTTTTATTCATCTATTATCCCACTTTTCTTCTTCAGATGCACCTCCCTTCTCCATCTCCTCTTCTCCATATCACTCCTTCCCCCACTTCCTGACTCCTTCCTGGCTCCTTTGACCCCTAAATGTTAGCAGATGAGAAGACACAACGCCAATAGTCATTCACCCTGCTCTTAGTGACCATTGTGTGTCCGCTTTGGTTAATACCCCCCTCCTGCCCATTAATGACTGGGGGGGTTAAACCCACACCCACTCCACAGAGTCACCATGTAGAGCTGCTGTTGCTTGGCGTGGTGGTATTGGACTCATTTTGTTGTTTAAGCACTAAGTGTTATCTTATCCTGGTGTTATTTACAACAAAGACAACTTAAAATAAATGTTCCTACTATTAAGTTTCCTGTTGTGACACAGCCTCATATTGTTTATAGCTTCCATGATATAAAAACTCCATAGTTTAGCAGGAATGACTCATGAATCAGCATTTTACATCTTCCGGCTAGCTTGTCTCAAAGTCAGAGTTTAAAAAAAAAATGTTAAACTGTTTATTTTCATTTTCTTTTACAAATCAAGACATATCCTGACTTTTCCATTCAAATGACAAATAATACAATGGTACAACAGAATATGAAATAAAATAAAGTAAAAAAAAAAAAAAATAGGACAATTATAAAAAATTAATTAATAATAGTAAAGTAAATAAAAATAAATAAAATAATTTTACACAAGTTTTTTTAAACACGTTTTTTTGTGAGATGCCTGGAATACATTCTGTGGTTGATGCCAGTTTACTAGACTTTTGGGAAGTTTTGTCCTAAAATTATGTCTGTAAAGATCCCACTGTTTAAATAAACTAACAATAATAGTTGTTATGTTTTTATCAAAAGACCTGTCGATTTTCACAGCGGGGTTTGGGTTCCTTATAGAACAAATGCATTTTTGTTTTCATTTTGATCACCTCTAGTTCCTCAAGTCAAGCCTACACCCCCCACACACACATACACACACACACACACACACACACACACACACACACACACACACACACACACACACTGAAACACCGTTGCAGACGTGCTGCGGTGCTCTTCCCTTTCCTCAGAGGAATTGTTTGGAGAACTCTGTGATGTTTGATGCAGGATGAATTCCGGGTGGGAAATACTCAAATAGATGTTCTTATTGTCTCATGCACGGCTGAAAAACTCAATGGTTGTGTCTCTACATCCCAGACTCATGTTCCAGAGTAATATGTTTGATTTCTTTCTGGTGTGTTTCAGGGGGATCCTCTGCCTGCAGCCCTGGTGGAGCTGGTTAGAAACAGCCCCATCTCCTCCATAGAGGACCTCCAGCTGCTGCTGCTCTCTGACTCCGTAGGTAAAGACCAGCAACTTCTGATATTTCATAAAACATGGGTGTATGAGAATGGTGTTTAACCTTTGGTCTAGTGACGATCCTTTCAAAAGTGCTTTGAAATCAAATAAAAACAGCAGTGTCAATACAGTTGCAAGTGAAATGTTTTGTAATGCATGAGTCAACACGTGTCGTTCCATGCTCTCTAATGTACAAATTCATCTGTCGATTGAATGTTTCTCATAACTCTGTCATTATGCGGCTTTCAAATCCGTGTCTCAGTGCTGTACGATACCAGTCACCTCTGTGGAAACATTGGCATAACTTCCTTTTGTAATTTATATTTGAGTGTTGTATGTCTTTGAAAAATGGACCTAGAGTCTCTTTAAATAAAGCTGATGAATACACAAGGTAATACATGAAGGCCAGTGATGCAACAACAAACACAATATGCTGATTTGTGATTTTATCATAAATGCAGGCATTACTATTCTGAGATTATATTCTAATTGCAGAAACTTGTAATCAAGTGTTCACTCAATAAAACATAAAATGTGCACGGTAAAGCAATGATAACCTACAAATAAACATGGCAACAAGTTGTTACTTATACCATAATTGTGACTAGTAAACATCAACAGTAATAAAACCAACTCTGACAAACAAGTGGAGACACAAGGAGCAGGGAGAACACAACATATGGTCTTAGAAACACACAAACACACACGAAAATACACCCATGCAATACATACTTAAGCTATATCCATGTCTGTATTTCTCCTTTTTACATGCTCTTAAGCACCCTCACATGTGACGTTAACCCCCCCCCCCCACACACCTCTTTGTTTCCCCCTCTCCCCTCCACATGCCAGTTCTTCAGCTCCTGTTTTGCCTCCGTACATCCAGGGGGCGCTATAAGGCCTCAGAACACAATATGCACCGCATGCCATAAACACCATTCATAAATCACTTGCTGTGTTTACACAAATCATAGGCTGCTTTTGTTTATTGTTTTCTCTCAGATGAGGAGGACGGGACTTTTGCAGCGAACGGAGGCCACAGACTACCAAGGAGCCTTGGTAAGATAAGCCCCTCCCCCTTCCTTATATCATTTAAAAGACCTTTTTGTTGCACTAAATATGTGAAGTTATTGTCAGTTATGACAAAGATCCTCACTGCTATCAGTTCTTTGGATCTTGACAAACACAACCTCATGGTCTTAAGCTTAAATATGTGTGCATTCAAACCCATAAATAGTTTATTAGAAGGTTGTAGTGCTGATGTGGAGGATTCCTGATTTCTCTCATGACATGTAAAGTACTCCATCCTCATTAGTAAAGGACTGCCCTTCCTGGGAGTTGATTGATGTGACAAGTATGGCTTTAGTGACACGGTCAAATCCTCCCCATTAACCTTTTTGATAAAACAGATGTCTGAATAACTGAACACCAGTCTACGTGCCTTTGTTGGCTTCCCTCCTGCATGAGGAGTTACTAATACCCTTCATCAATCATCATGTAGAATATGTTTCATATCTTATCTGTGTACGTCAAACAGTTGCAGGAAAATGTCCTCATGTCTGATAAGAGGAAGCTGTAGCACGTCTACTCATTTGGAATGCATGAGTTTCATATTATAATCCCGCTGCTGCTTGTTTCTGCTTTGCATCAGCTAGAAACCGGCTTTAGTGGATGCCGTGGTGCTAATGCAGGACAGTTGAGCTTCATGAGTCAGAAGTCACTTTGTATTAAACCAATTGGGCTTCAATGGTGAGAGCTACTTATCTCACTATATACATGTGTCAAAAATGGAAGGAATGTGAATTAAAGAGATGCAAAGTCAACACAAAGAGTCGAAAGCGACCACTTAGACTTAGAGCCACATAATCTTCATACATTTAAGGGAAATTACTATAGAGATGCAAAGTGACCACAAAAAGCCGACTGAAAAAATACACAAAACTACCACTAAGATATGCAAAATGACAAAAAAGAGATACAAAGCAACCACAAAGTACATAAAAACATCCAAAATGAGATGTAAAAAAAGTAAATAGGAGAAATTACAAAAAATGTATGCAAGGTGACGACAAAAAACAACAAAATTAGAACAGAAAGACAGAAAACAACTACATGAGATCCAACATGCCATGATGTACTCAAGAATGACGCAGGAGCACAAAGTACCAATGAACTGGCCAGATGTATGGAGAACCGGGATGACTGGAAGCGACGCTGTGCCTGAAAGAATACGTTTCAACCTGGGAAAAAACGCTTACTGGTATTGAGCTTAGAAGTAGTTGATCTCTCCTGTGTATATATCAATAGTTATCTGAGATTTCTAGTTGTAGATGATTATCAGTTATGAAAGTCAACTACGTCATCTCTGTGACCATCTGTAAACCTCTCATGCTTATCTATCCCGGACAGTGAAAATGAATGTTCCGGTAGATACGTATGGTTTTTGTTTCTATATATGTTTATACATACGTTTATTACATATTATGATATATATGTGGTTAGTGTGTCTGTGTAAATATGTATACGTGTGTGTAATTCTGATTTATTTTCGTGTGTAGTTATATACTTTTATTGTCGTGAAGTTATAGAAACTCATGACAGGTATCGTCGGGGCATTTTTGATTTTCACAACCCACGGGTCTACACTCATTCATTCTACGTCAGTCTCCCCTATTTGCCAGAAAGGTGGTATAGTAAAAATTAAAACCTATAAACACAGGACACCAACACCATAGGGGACGTCCGCAGACCCACACGCAACGGTGCCCCTGCGTCACGTACGAGAACCACAACGTCGGCGGGCCTCGTCGCGACGTGGAGGTTGCGTACCGCCGGTATTGTCCTCAACCGCAACGACGCCAGGTTGTAGCGGGCCCACCTAGGTGGTGAAGGCAGGGCTTAAATGGTGCCGGACGACGCGGCGACCCGCAGACTCCCTGCTCTCACTTCGCTCACACTCCCCCCACCTTCCTATACTTTGTTAACCAACCGTCGTTCCTGTTTGAGTAATAGTAACAAAATCCGGTA